ACTATTTAAAGTTTTACTTGCATAGTAAATCATATAGGGTTTCTTATCTTTTTTTTGTCTTAAAACAGTACTAACAACATAATCACTAGTATCATATATTTTTTCAAAAGGTAATAACCAATCAGGAGGTCAAATGATTGGAGCAGAAGTAAGCAAGTTTTTAAGTTTAACAAATGCTTTTTCACATTGTTCAGTCCATTCAAAAAATTTTTCCTTAGTTAGAAGGTTACATAATGATTTAGATATTACATTAAAATCTTTGATAAAACTTCTATAAAAACCAGCATGTTCTAAGAATGATCTAACATCTTGAATAGATTTTAGTGTTGACAAGTTAACAATTAACTCAATTTTAGATTTGTCAACCTCAATTCATTTCGATGAAACAACGTGACTAGGTACAATGTCATTTCTTACCATAAAATGATATTTTTTCCAATTTAGTATAAGATTCTTTTCTTCACACTTGCTCAAAACCTTCTCTAAGTTAGTCAAACAATTATCAAATGAATCACCAAAAATAGAAAAATCATCCATAAAAATTTTAAAAAAATGATAATAGTAGTAGTAGTAATAATAATAAAGAGGAGGAGGAAGAAGAAGAAATTGATGAGAACTTTGAGATAGAAGATCAATTTAAGGATTAAACAATGATAAAAACAAATGTCAATGTTAGAGGATCCACTAATGGTATTTCAAACAAGTATAGTATAGACTAACTTGCCAACTGGAAACCACACACAAAAGAAGTTTCAATATATTATAAATGGTTAACATGATTACATTAATTATCTTATTCAAATAATACTAATACTTATAAATGTTATGAGGCATTCATGATTATAATTTATGTTAACAACAAATCAAGTTCCTTTCATAGCTTATGTGTCGGTTATACCATATAGTATGGGCTATGAAAGTGCTAAGTATTTATTGTACGAAGTGTTATACAACATAAATCTAGATTAACCATTTAACATACAAATTATTAAAAATGAACAAAATAACAAATACAAAACATGTTAGCATCAAACATTAAAGTCTATGTTAAGTTCACACTATACTTATTTTTACACCATTAGTGTAACATTTTCACCTTGACATAATAAACTTAGCTAAACATAATGAAAGAGAAAAACATAAATAAATAAGATAAAAACGTAAATAAGATAAAAGTTAACTAAGTAGAAGAAAGGAAATGAAAGGCATAAAAAAGATATTAATGAAAGTAAAGCTTAAACATTACAAAAATACAAAGAGAAAAAGCAAGAGTATGATTTTGATTTGGAAAAAAAGATACTTAAATTCATGACAAATGTCTCTTTTTATAGGCGCCAAAATTTAGAACTATTAACATGGCTAATTATTGAGTGGGTGACCACATCTTAACTTGATGATAATCCTTATCTTTTTGTCTGAATAAAACGTTATTAATAATGTCAGAATGTGACCTAACTTTTCACATGAAAGTTCTAAAAAATTATCTCAATTTTTTTTAAATTAATTTAATTAGGTTAAGTTATAAAATTCATGATCTAAGTTATAAAATTAAAACAACTTATAAATAAAAAATAAATTAAAATAAATTATAAAATTTAATTTATAATAAATTTAATATTAAAAAATAAATTTAATAATAATAATAACAACATCAACAGGATAATATTTATGTGAATAAATTTAATAATAATAATAACAACATCGACAAGATAATATTTATGTGAGGAGAAATTTCTCCCTATCAATTAGCTTTCGGTAATGGAGTGGAAAGTCATAATTAAAAATGGTACATTAAAAAAAAAAGGACAAAAATTGGTATTCTACATTGTATAACTAAATTGAGAATTGCAAGAAACAAAAAATTTGAGAAAACATTCTCACCTCTCTCCTCTCTCTCGGTTGTAACTTGTGACTCCCTCCCCGCGCTGTGCTGCTGCTCGTGCTCTTCGGTAGCGCAACGAGAAAGAAGAATAAGGGAATGGGGTGGAATTACCCATACATATCATTAGAGGAAATGGTGAAACTTCTAAAAGGGTTTGTAGATATAATGATTTTAGCATCTGGGTATCAATCCTCTGCTCTTTTAGCCCACTGGGACGCTCAAAACATAAAAAAAGCCATCCACTGGGGTTCCTTCTTCCAAAATGTAAGCCCCACAGTTTTTTTTGGTTCTTTAAATCAATACTCGTGTATGTAAGCATTAGTTCGTTTCTTCATTGAAAGGCAGACAGAGCATTATTATAAATGTTCCCGGTAATTACTACTCCTATGACGTCTTAGGTACTTGAGCATATGAGTACCTCAGATGTTTACCAGGACTCAATTAAGGAACTTGATGCAGCTCTCTGTCAAATGAAATCAAACCCTTATTTTCCCCAGGTTGTGGCTTTCTTCATTTTGAGTTAGTTTTATTATCTGTGACAAAGTTTGATGTGATTGCAATAATAATAATAATAATATATCTGATAAAAGCAGGGTCTTGCAAATCTATCATGCGATACTCTGAGTAGGGCAAGGAGTTTTGTGTTGGCCCATTTGTTCCAGACTTTACCACTGAGGGATTCACATCTCAAAGCTTTTTTAACTGCTGTAATTGAGATGGAGCTTGAGAGGGTTTCGGAATCGGAGCATGATTGTCTAAGTGTGTATCTTAACAAGTTAAAGCCGTGGAATCCGCAGCTTGATTTGATTCTAGAAAGGAGGGGTTTTGTGAAGGATTCTATGGTTTTATCAGAAGAAATTAGTCAAACTGTGAAGTTTGGAAAATTCAGCGATGATGATTTGACGAAGTTGACTCTTCAAGAAGTCTTCAAGAGGCAGTCTGCAGTGTCATGCATATCGACAGTGGAGACAGGCTTAGATGTCCTCTCTAATGCTATCAGGTGTAGTAGTGGGACTGAATCTGATAGTAGCATGCTGGAAGAACTAAAACTTGATGGAGCTCCTTCATCTGTTGGGTATAAAACGAATTCATTTCCCTAACTGTGAAATAAGTGCATTTTGTTTATTGACTGACAATTAAATGCATAAAACCATGTAGGCTTCATTGTTTCTTGCAAATAAAGTTTGTTGACATTTTTTTACAACTATTTCACTCATGTCGATTGGTTCAATTGAGCAAGTAGTCGGTGCTAGATTATAGAATTTTTACTTTGAGGTCAAAAACAGACACACTTTGGCTTTGTGTGCAGGGAAATAGAACAGCTGGTTGATTTTTTCACGTGGAATCATTGGAAATCAAAGATGGTTTCGTATTTTCTTGATAAGAGAACCATTAGATTGGTGTCAGGTGCCAGCATGATATTTTCTGCCCCTAAGATGCAGTGGCTACAAGTGTTTGAACGGCTGAATACTTCAGCAGATTGCAAGAATGATGGTTTGAGTGAAATAGTTGTAAGTCAATATAATTTTTGAAATTAAATAGAGGATGTAGTCTAATACATATAGCTTGATTTTATGACCAGTAATCACTCGTTTGGTTCATATTTTACAATGTAATGGTTATTTGATCCATGAGCTTTCAATATTTGAAATATTAAGAATTCCATTGATTTAGGAATCATCTACAAGCTTTATGTGCATGCTAAATTCATTGTGCATGTATTGTAATATATTTCAGCGTATAAATGGTTGCAAGCAGTGATGTTAACCAAACACAACTGCACTTGTGCTACTTGATTCACTGGCTTGCTTTGGAATGCACTGTCAAATTTTCTCATCTGGGTTTCTTGCAATAACTACATGTGACCTTCTTTCTCTCTCTCACGCACACCTTTTGATGCTATTTTATGATGGTTGTGAATGATTGTGAAGTTCGCTGAAAACCCAGCAAACTAAACCCATTTTTATACGCATGTTTTTTTTTTTGGGTTCAGTATGGGGAGGGGTCTAGGTTAAATTAGTGAAGGATGTAAATGAGAATTGAAATAGAATGATCAGGTTAGTGCACAAATAAGGTCAAATCTGGGTTAAATTTTGCATTTGTGAATCCATCCCTGAAACTAGCTTGTGCATTTCTGCATATGTTTTAATAGCTTACCCTTACATGTATCTCATTGATTCAGTAGACTGAGAAACAGTTTACTCTTTTGTTTTGATTACATGAGCATATCGTTGCTGTTATTAATATTGACATATTGTGATCTTGCTGTGGGCAATTAAGATTGTACTTGGCTTCCTGGCATGGATGCTGATGAATTACCGAATCACTTGGTTTTGGTGATCTCGATAGTGCATTTGAGTTGATTTACTGAAAATTGACCTTGGTTTTTAGGAAGTCCTTTGCTTTTCCCTTGAGACAGGAACTCCTATTACTCGGACGCATTGCAAGCCAATGGAATTGTCTAATTGAATGTGCTACATCAGTTTCATATTTCTCCGCCACTATCTCAAACCTATATTATGAGGTGTGCAGCTTGCTTACTGGAAGAGCTCAAGGTTTCCATTCCAGTGAGAGAGCAACAGATTCAAAGGTGCTCTATATACTTGAATTTGAATGGATTATATAGATATGTAAAACACACACACATACTCATAAAGAGGTATCCATTGACATGAGGTGCAGGTTCTATGCCTGCATGGTTTTATGACTTCCTATATTATTGTCATTCATATAAACATTTTTTGTTGTGCTAGTGTAGAATTTCAAATTGATCTACAACCATGACACTCTATCTTAGAAAGTAGATTTTTTTTTTTTAATTGAGAATATGAAGTAAACAAGTCACATGGATGGGATAACATACCTATGTTTGATTGACTTGAAATTTGGCAAGCTTGATGCATGCAGAAATATTGGGCTCAATTGTTATAAAGATCAAATTCTATGATGATTCCTTTAGTGTAAGAGTAGTATCTCTATGAACAAGCATCTGTATGTGATCCTTATTAACATTTGTTTATGAAAGAAGAATCACTTTTTTTCTTAGCGTTTGTTTTTGTGGTTGAACCTACTTTTCAAACAATGTTTTGCCTGAAAAAAGCATCAAATTGATGGTTTTTTGGGTGTTTTTCAATGGTTTTGATATGTTGAATCAAAAAAAAAAACCCATCATTTTGATGCATTTTCAATTGAGAAGCGCATTGCACCGCTTTACCAAACACATTAAACGTGGTGTCAATTAGTCTCAGCTTTTCATTATTCCTGTTTGTTTATACATAAAAGATGGATCTTTATGCTGCCTACCTTCCTCGATGAAGACCCTTGGACTTGGAGTGGTTTTGGACATAATGCTCAAGTGGCCATGGTTGTCTGTCTCGGGGCAAGCTGGGTGGAGTTCATTTTGAGCTTGGAACCTAATAATGTCTGTACTATTTATGGACTTTGTTGAGGATATTGCTTTGGTGGCTAAAGTTCGAAGCTAACCACGCCCATTGTGCAGAGTCATTTGGATGACTGGCCCTGGATGCTTCATTCAGCTTGTGAGGGACAAAGTGCTGCACCTATCTTTTTGTTTGTGTCCCCTTGAGCAAAATAATGAGCTGCACCAGGCATTTGTTGCTGGGGTAGAAATTTCATGTAGAGGTTCATGATAGCTAGTGGAGTGAACTTCCAAGGTTGCAAGAACGTGGCATTAATCATCACATATCTATTTATCCTTCTTTTGGTCTTTTGGAAACTGTTGCAGAATTTGATGCCCTTGGCTGAATGAACGATGTCATCTCTAAGTATACTTTGTTATGTTTCCTTACCGTGCTGTTTGTTTATTTATTTGCAATTCACTGGTGCTGTATCCAGTGTATAGCTCTACATCCTTTGTTCCTATGTTTATATTATACATTTTGATTGGTTTTAGCTGTTTATAGCAGGAAAGTGATATTCTTGAGTATCTAGCCAGACTGCAGGGCTATCAACTTTCTCTATTGTGGAAACAGTCCCCTGTCCTTGCAGCAGTTGCAATCCCATCATGGTATTCTTATTGCTTTTCTCTTCATTGTCTGGATGTTCTGGGAATTTAACTTATAAAGGAATTAATCTGATTTTAGTTTTCTTTTAGACTTGTTATGGTTGAACAAGTTTCATTGCATTTGTGATTTGTGTGAAATGATATAATCACACAGTTACAATGGAGCTCTTTAATTTTGATGGCTCTCACATGATTTTAACAAAAGGTGCTTCAAACTTCAATAAATGGAGTGCTTGATGTTTGTCCATTTGCAATTAATGATCCTGTAAATGGTGTTGCAGGTCACCTTTGTTGAGATTGTATCTAAGTGAAATAGAGACTCAAGTCAAAGGAGATTCTTCAGCACAGAGGTTTTGAGATTGCAGTTGCCTGTCTTCCATGATTCGGAATTAAAATCTTCTGACACATTTTTTCATCATTTTTTGTTAGCCCTCACATTTCTTTTCTATGCAGATGCTGCAGCTGTATTCAAGATAGGAAGCAGCACAAAGATTGTAAGTATATTCACCCCTTTCCAGCATGTGCACATACTTCATGATCTCCTACATAAATTTTAACTTCTACCTGCAATGCTGAAACTGGGAATCTTATGATAAATGCTGCAGTATGCAGTTTGCTTTTACCTTTAATGTAATTGGTGTGTGATAGCATAGGAAGAAAACATGTCGGATCTCTATGTCAAAAATCAGAGTACCTATCTGGAATTCAGATGGAATGTATACGAGTTGTTTTATGCAGAGTGCAAGCTGTTTCTCATGCTAATGCTAGAAATTTTGTGAGAATAACAGATAGTTCTCTTGATAGAACTCTTAATGTAGAACGAAGACAGTAATAAAGTAAAAAGGATAGTCAACCTAAAATCCACATGAAATACTTGAACCCATGCTCTTGAAATCCACAAGAACAAATAATTTTCATAACTCATTTTCCTCATAAAACAACCTGAGACACAAGATATGCGGGCTTTTTTAGGCAAAGCAAAATCTTAAAACAGTCTGATCAATCAAAATTGTTGCTGAATAAAAAATATTGGACAGTCCTAATACTAGTAGACCTCTAAATAACACCGACATCCTAAATGATAAGTTGGATTCCCAAATAATATAAGAAACTAAATTAACACATTTATAAATTAATTGAAAAAAAGTCCTTTTTCTGATATTGCATCAACTTTTCGTGCTTATATTTTACATGCATGTTGGGCAATGATGATGTTAATTCCAGAACCTGCTATTTGCTATTATCACAAGATTTTCAGAATTCAGATGGAGCTGTCTCCCTCAACCTTGTATAATGCAAGGGGTTTGCCGTGTTTAGAGTGGATGCTATCTTTGATGCTATTACTACGTGGTAGTATTATTGATCATCATAACATTAGCACTGCCATTTTCATGTCTTGTAAAATTGGGGGGAAGAATAGAAAATGGATTTGTATAGGAGGCTTACTTAACAAAACTTTTCTACAAACAAATGCTGCAAGAAATACCACACTCTACAAGGATAAATACAGATGTCTCATATTTTCTTGTTGTGTATGGATGTCTATATAAAGGATTTGTTTTCTCCTGTAAAGAAAAGAATTCTTTTAGCTAACCTTAACCACTATGTGACTGAGATGTAGTTGACTCGTCATTATATAACATTTAGCTTTGTCTTCTTGGAACTCTTACTGCCTTTTACATAACTGTAATCCATGTTTAGTCTTTATATATCATAGAGGAGTTTTCATTTAACATTTTTGCTGTGTCTTCTTGGAATTCTTGTGGCCTTTTCCATTACTGTAATCTACGTTAATGTTTGATAGATCATAGAGGAAACTTTTAGCTAGTAACTGGACTTATGATTCATGTATAGGTGAACTCGCTGAGAGAATTTGGTGCCTTTACATCTTTCACAGTTTTGCCTCTCATGCTATGCATGGTGCCAATAGTTCTTGACAGGTGAGCGTGACTGTGATGGTTATTGGTGAGAACCTTTCTGATACATGTCTTGCCAAGTGACAGATTTGCTTTTTTTTGTGTGTGTGTGTGTTGGAAAGATGGTATAATTTAGTTCATTATTATAGGTAAAATTGATCACGGATTTCTTAGCTGAAATTTGAAGTCAAGTTTTCAAAGACTTCATGTTGGCTCCCATGCTTCCATCTATACGTGGATTTCATTGTATATTATAGAAAGTGTTTTTAGATGCACTAGGAAATTTGTGGCAAGTGAAAGAGACCTGTTAACGCATTGCAAAAAATGACCACAATAATCATTGTTGTCTTCTATAGGTCTATAGGTGTTTTGATGTTTTTTCACACGAAAATATATTAAAATAATAAATTTTTATTTTTTAAAAATTATTTTTAACATTATCATGTCAAAACAATATGAAAATACTAAAAAATATTAATTTAAGTAAAGAAAAAAATAGAAATAAAATTAATTTTTTTAAAAGTACTTTTAAAATACAAAAACAAACAAGTTCTTAGATTCATGACCTATAATGGCCAAACCAGATATTTGCATTTGTTAATCAAAAGCATAGCTTAAAACTTCATTGTACTGTAGTTTTTGTGTTCATCTTCCTCAACAATCCTTATTTGCCAATAATCTGATTGCAAATGTAGTTTTGTGAAGTATCTATTTGAGAGTGTAATAGATATTGCGTTTCAAAGTGTTTTTTATTTGAAAATGTATCAAAATAATTTTTTATTTTTTAAAATTTATTTTTGACATCAACACATCAAACTATCTAAAAATATAAAAAAGTTAACTTGAAGCAATTTGTTTTTCTAAAAATAACGAAATGACAATTCAATTGCAATGTCACATGAACCAGATGGATGGTTTGCTCAATCTGTCCATTGTGTCTTGAATCTAAGGCGCCAAATATTTGTTCTTATTGTAATCTTATCCAATGCTTGATAATTGGCATGCATCTTTAGGCTTCCAACGGCTTTTTATCTAAAACAAAATGACACTATACAAAGCTTTAAAGGGAACCTAGCATTAATAAGTTCTTTCAACTATTTTCTCAACTCAGTTAATTTCATTAATGACATGCAATATTGGGATGAGATGATGGTGTCACTCTTGGCACCATCTTAATTCGATGATCAATGGCCTTTTCAAGTGGAAGTTTTGTAAAATTGGCCTTTTTTCATGGAAGTCCTTTGTATTAAATTTTATAGACTCGGCTTGTTTTTGTTTTTTCAGAAAAATCTTTTTCTTAGTGGAATTTAAAAAAATTGAATTTCTTTTGACTTAGAAATAATTTGCTCATTGTTTAAAACAATATTTTAACATTTTTTTTTATAACATAACAAATGAATCAAGTGATGAAATTGTAAACAAAAATATATGAATTAAAAAATGAATAATCATTCTCACATCATGTTTTTGGAGCCATAGTTTAGATGTTTGCAAAATAATATCTAGTGGATTTATTGTTCATGAACTTGTGAAATGTATTTATTTGTAAAATCTAAATCATTACAATGAACAAAGTTAAAGTTTATCTCTTTTAACTATTTGCCCTTGAAATAAGAATACTTCATCCTTGTTATTTCTTTTATGTTATAAAATAAATATATCCATTGTAATTTTTTTTTTAGCCTGAATATTTTTCTTTCGTAAAAATCATAACTAGGATTACACTCGATACTAAAAGCAAGTGAAATTTCATTAATTGATGAGAAAGCCTAAGGAAAAAAAAAAGCCAAATAAACTTCACTGATAAGAGGAATGTTCAAAATAAAAAGTAAAAATGACAGTAAGAACAAAATAAGGATACCCCACCAAAGCAATAAAAAGGGTGAATAAAAAAACAACAAAAAGAAAAAAAATATTAAACAGGAAAATGAGTTAATCAATTAATAGTGATTCTAGGTCTTTAAAACCTTGAAATACATTTTGTGTTTTATAAATCATTTTTTTTCATAAATAAGAACTATAGCCTACATTATGTGCCCTTTACAAGTTCTTTCTATTCAAGCAAGTAACCTGGATCAATAAAAGACGCTCTCAGAATGCAAAAAATGTTTTCATAAGAGTGGTGACAACGTGAGCAAGTCACTCATTATTATTCATGCTACTAAAATGAGTGCTCAAAAAGAGATTTTTCTCAAACAAAACGTCAAGCTTTTACTCTAGCCTTTTGCTTTGAAACCCATAAAATAGAAGGTCACCTCATCATGAACTTTCCATCAATTTTAATTTCATTGACATAAGAACAAATCATTCATTTAAAAAAAAATTCAAGATTTTAAAAACAATATGTTTTAAACTCACTTTAGAACAATTTTTGTTCTCAAAACATAAGATGTTCATGATTTTAAAATCATTTAGGATAAAGATTTCTTCACTAAAATGGTGTAAAACCCAACAAATAGATAGTATTAGGTTGACCTATGCTTGGAAAGAATTAAAGGAAACAAACTAGCCTACTCTAGGTAGAATTTGGGGGAGGAAAATCAACCTATCTTAGGTGGGAAATGTGGGGTGGTAACCAGTCGTAAGATAATTCAAGAGAGATAAGAACAAGGATGACCAACACCCAAACACCCTCATTTCATTTAAGAAGGGTATAAATGCAGGAGAGGAAAAATAAATGACTTTTCCTCTTCTTAAAAATTGGCTAGCAACCTTAGCTACAACAACCATCCCTTCCTAATAAGAAAATCTAACCAAATCAGCTTGCATGTTATCTTCCTTGAATGAGTGGAGAGTTAGAAAAATGAGAGAACCAAAAACATGGAAAAAGGAGCCTATAGGGCCGACTGGAACAAACAAAAGGAAGAAGGAAGAAATCAAGAGAAAAGAGGAAGAAAAAGAACTAAAACCTACCCTATGGCTACTTCAAATCGTAAGGTAAGAACAACATCACTTCCTTGTTTCTTTGAGATTTTAGGACAAAAGGAAGAAGGAAACCTCGAGGGAATGGCTTAGTGTTCTTACACCTATGATTAACAAGGATTAGATAGAAAGATTGAAGAGAATGGGGCGAAAGAGGGACATAATTCTAGAACCTTTAACAAAAAAAATGGATGAATATGGATGAACAAACCTTAACTAAGGACCAACCAAGGGAGATAATGAAAAGAGATGAAATGAAGTGATAAAATTCATAATTGTGACCTTGTTAGACTCATAGAGACATGTTTGGGCAGAAATAAAATTCATGTTTATGTTAATGTATTGATTATGCATACATGATTGAAGAGCTTGTGTGAAAGTGAGATGAAATGTGTATAATTGTAGTTTTGTTAAGCCTTTAGAGACATGTTTGAGTTGAAATAGGAACCATACTATGTTAATGCTTTGATCTTGTTTATGTGATTGATGAATTTCCATTGTTATGAACCAAGTGAATGAAGGTGTGATTGTGGCATGTTGTTGTAAATATACTTGTGATAGAAATGATGGATTGCATGTGTAAATTGGGAGAGAATTGACAACAATGTTTGATCAAAGAAAAAAGAGAAATCATGAAGGAAACTTTGCATGATAAACGCCCTTAGAGAAACAAGATATAGGATGGAAATGAGACTCCTGCGTAATATGAATTGACAATTAATTTGTGTTGATGAATTGGCATGATTGAATTGAAAACATAACATGTATGATCGTGGTAACATTAGGTTTTGATTTTGAAATGATGGTTAAGAGAACCTTTGCAAAATATATATACATGTTGAGACTTGGTTGCGTATTGCTTGATAACCTTAAGATAAATTAGGTGTGATTTGATAACAATCTATGTCCAACTAGGTTGGATTATGTTATAAGGGGAAAGCTTAGCATAGACCTTATGCTTAGCCTAGGGAAAAAGTAAGACTAGAAATAACTCCATTGCTGTCGATTTTTGAATCAGTAGCAACATATTTTTTATTGATGATTTCTAGGTCAATAGCGACTCAGTTTTCATTGAAGATTTTTGAGTCAATAGTAGATTGTGTTCGCTAATGATTTTATGCGTCAGCCGTGGAATTAGTTTTCGTTTATAATTTCTAAGTCAGTAGCAACTTAGTTTTCATTGATGATTTTGAGTCAACAATAGATTGTGTTCGCTGATGATTTCATATATCAACTATGGACTTTGTTTTTGCTAACGATTTATATGCCAACAACAACCTAGTTTTTGCTTATGATTTATGTGTCACTAGTGACCTAGTTTTTGCTGACAATTTCTTGTAAAGAATGACTAGGGTAAAACAAAGTAATTTAACCATGACCACTGTATTAATGTGTCACTAGTGACCTAGTTTTTGCTGACGATTTCCTATAAAGGATGACTAGGGTAAACTCAAGTAATTTAACCATGACCAATGTATTAACTCTATTCCCTACAACTTTAATAAAGAGGTTAGAACATGCAAGTAAGGATAATACAATTGATGAAATAATGAGGCTTGTATTATATATATAAGGGGTAATGAAAGGAATATACTCATTTAGGTTATTAATGAAAAGTAGTGATAATATTCTTTTAAATATTTAATATCATGCTTAAATTATTTATAATTCTTGTATCCATTTTGCATTGTAACAGAGACGTCATACAATCATTGTGCATAGGAATCCCGTCTCATAGGTCCACATATTTTGTTATGAACTATGTATCCGTATGTTAAGAGGTTATGTATTTTGTTTGACAAGGTCATCTTTTAAGCATTCGGTCACCCAAGTTCATGGTTTGTCCAACCATCATTATGGCCGACCATGTAACTAGGTTTGTACCTTAAAAATCATCTCTCTCTCTCTCTCTCTCTTATTGTATATTCTAGTTTTAGGTTCTTTATTCAGCCCCATTATTATCTTCCTTTTTAATTTAGTTTTTCCCTTAGCTGCTAGTGTAAAATCCTGTGCATTCCCTCATGGTTTTCTTCTTCCTTTCAGTTTCAGGAACTCAAGAACAGGTAGGGAAAAGATTTGGTTCATGCCTTACTCTTTTCAGTAGCCTTAGGAAGGGATTAAACAAGTTTTTCTCCTCCCCTTTACTCATGATTTTCTACTTTTTCTTCCTCTATGGTTTTGGTTTTTCCTTCCTTCTTTATCTAGTTGCACCAGTGACACGATGAAAAGATTAATATCTTCTCCGAAGTGCAGGAGTGTCGAAGTAATAAATAACCCGACAAGACCGGGGTCGAACCACAGGGAGGTTAATTGTACAAATTATAAACAACAATTATAA